AAGTTAAATTTCGTCATGAAAGTTGTTTGCAGGACTCGCAGGACTGTATTTCTGAGAAGACCCAATTTAGACTCTGGTGTAGCCGTTCGACGTCACAAGTCTTTATGTTGAGGAACGTTTCATCTACGTAGCGGAGCCACAGTTTTGGTTTGACAGCTCGAAAAACCTTCTCTTCTAGTCTCTGTACGACTAGTTCGGCAAGTAGCCCCGATATTGGTGAGCCAATTGGGATGCTCTTTTCTTGCTGATAGTACTTGCGGTATAGAATAAACCAGGGAAACAACGTCGAATGACATAATACGTTTGTCAGGACTTACTTGAAGTCCTTGAATTCTATGCAGGAATATCTGTGAATTTTTGATGCTCTATTGCGATCGATCACTTAGCTGCTTTAGTTTCCTGTATAGCCATATAGTATATGTTCTCATGTTTATTCCACGTGTTTTACCTACAGACAGCGATCAAAGACATACACCTGCTGAAAACAACTCATATATTGATTCTCCATACAAATGCACTGGCCTGGTAAATGAGTACCAATCTACATTTTCAAGCCGGATATAGGAATATTTGCAGAAATTACGCATGACCATTAAAGGACTCTGTCGGTCTACCTTTTGGTTTTTACAAGAGATAGGGACTTCCAATTAGCCATTTTTGCAGCTGAAAGTGCACACACACCAAATGTCCCTTTTTATTACGACCCGCGCCTAGTACTCGTAATTAGTACACAAGGCGAACTAGCTGACCATGGTACACAAAGCGCGGCACTAGCGAAGCAAGAGAATACGAGCGACCACGAGCAGTGTGTATTCACACAAAGCAAGTTAGAGCAAGTCGTTTTCACACAAGGGCTAAATGCATTTAAAAGGGCGCGGAAGGGATTAAGTCCAATTCAATGGACCAACCAGAATTGAGGGGACATGACTGGACGCAGTGAGGTAGCTCGCGACGACATTGTGTGTGTTGCCTCATCATGGGAATAGCGGCAATCCAGACACTTTTCTAGATTTTCTTGAAAACCCTCTTTATTTCAGACCCCCGAGGGACAACTGCAGGTGAGATCATACAACCAGCTGGCACGTGTTTTGGCGGAATTTGAGGCCCTCTACTACCACAATTGGTATGACCGGGTGCAGAAACAAGAGGGTGGCATGAACGTGCCCCTGTTGACACGCAACCCCGAGACGGGATGTTTCCACGTGAACCTCGACTTTGGCGTCATTACGGTGATTCAGGATGCAAAGCACATCCACGCCCTTGGTCTGCCAATTCCGGACTCCACGATGCGGCTCCTCATCCTGGAACGGGAAATGAAACTCTTTGTTGGCAGGTGAGTGTGGTGGGGATACAAACAATGGCGGCGCAGGACTGCGGGGCATTACGCAATGCAAAAAACGAGCCAAACAACCGCCCTGAAAATCAGTTAATTTAGATCAATAAAGAGGATTCTTGCATATTCGCAGGAACCCTGTCACGCAAAGACTCGGCTGCTTCTCAAGGTGGCGCCTGGGACCATGCCATCGCGGCTTGAAAGATTACCAAGCGGCGTCTCAGGGTAGAAGTTTAATTTTGGTTCCAGTACGGCACGCGGAAACCCCATCCTTCTTTTATACGGGACAGGTGGTAATAAGGGTTAAATGGGTGGGCATATTTAGGGAGAAAATAATCTAAAAATGTAGCGCGTATAAAATCAAAAATAATAGGAATAATTATTTATATAATCGGATGTTTTTACACAAAAAAAGCATGCCATTAGGAAAATGTTCACCTACGCAAATATCGGAAAGTAATTAGATTTGCGGAACACCGAAGAGAACTACGAATTTCCGAGAGTAAAGCAAAGTGAAGCAAAAAATAAAAACCAAATGTCACT